GCCAGGCCTCCAGAAGAGAGGCGCCCCTTGGAGGGGGGAGTGGGAGCAGCTGGGAGAGGAGAAGCAGTCACTGTGGCTGAGGCCATCTGTCCTGGAATCAGCTCTCAGCTCCTTCCTGTCTCTCCCTCTGCATGGGATCTGGAACTGGGCAGCAGGGAACTTGGGGGAGGGCAGAGGGAGCCGGGCAGAGCAGGTCCCACTCGCAGGATGCCGGGGCCAGGACTCAGGTGAGGGAGGGTCTTGTGGGGACTGGGGTGGGGTCTGTGGAGGCTCACCCGTCGGTGCCGGTACTTGACGCAGTAGAAGATGCTGAGCCCAGAGAAAAACAGAAGGCCTGCGGCAGTCCCCAGCACGATCAGGAGCACTGGCTGGGCATGGGGGAACATCTTGGACAGAACTGCAAGAGAGCGCCATGTGTCCGGTGCGCTGGCCGCCAGAGGACACCCTGGCTGCCCGCCCATTCTTGGGGGGCCAGTGCACAGGGCTGTCAAAGACCACCAGGGCTTGAGCGGACAGAGCTGAGGAAGGAGTTGTATGTTTTAGAAGCTGCAGGGCTAATCTGGTGTGGTGGCTTGACTTACACCTGTAATCCCAGCACCAAGGTGGGAGGACTGCTTGAGCCCAAGAGTTCGAAACCAGCCTGGGCAAAAGAGCGAGACCTCGTCTCTACAAAACAATAAAATGAAATCAGCCAGATGTGGTGTGTGTGCCTCTAGTTCCAGCTACTCAGGAAGCGGAGGCAGAAGAATCGCCTGAACCCAGGAGGTCAAGACTGTGGTGAGCCTGGGTGGCAGAGTGATACCCAACTCAAGAAAAAGAGACTGCAGGGTGTTCTGGAGAGCTAGAAGCAGAGCTCCAGAAGCCAGGCCTCACACGTGTGTGCGCGTGTGCACACGTGGAGCCAGGGAAGGAGCTCTCGGTCAGCTGCCGTTCCTCCTGGAGACCCCAGGAAGGCAGAAACTTGTAGGACAGCAAGCGGAGCTAGGGCCCGGGACCATGCCCCACCTCACCTGGGCACCTGTGTCTCTGCCAACCGCGGGAGGGCCCCACAGCTAAGGAGACGGGCTTGGGGCCAGGCCACAGCACCCAGGTCCTTACCCTCCATCTTGGACTCCAGCAGGACATGGCCCCCCTCACTCAGCAGACACTGCCACGTGCCCACCTCTGGGTCCAGCACCCACACCACCTTCGCCTGCTTGGAGACCTTGGCTTCCTGGTTCTCCAGCTTCAAGGTCAGCATCAGCTCCGGGGAGGCGGGGCCGCACACCTTGCAGGTCAGATTGTTCTGGAGATGAATCACTGCAGAGGAAGGAGAGGCTGAGGCCGCGAGCTGGGCCTCTGGGTCCCCGGGCCGCTGGGACCCGGCGCCTCCAAGCTCTGAGGGGATTCAGTAGCGCCATCAACTGATCTGCACACGGGTGACCTTCTCTTAGCTTCTCACAGCATGTTTTCATGCAGTTGGAAGCAAGGAGACACAGCTCTTGAGGTCCCTGGTCTTGGATTTGAATCCCAGCTCCCGCCAGGCTCAGCAACTCAGCCTGTCATCCTAGCACTTTGGGAGGCCGAGGTGAGTGGATTGCCTGAGCCCGCGG